GAACCGAAAATTTTGGGTTCGCGACATCACTAGCTCTCACATCATGGTGTAAGGAAGTACCCAGTGGATTCCAGGTATGAAGTCAAACTGTTAGTAAATGGTTTGACTGCTTGCATGGGGAGAGGGGGGCAGGGCCCTCTTTGCACCACAACTACAACAGTATGCTGTAATAGTTATGGTGCTTGATGTTTTACTTTCATGCTGTCATCTATACCTAAGGCCACAAGGAAAATGTGTTACTAATTTCAGCATGAACTTATACAACTTCCTGAAACTAAGAAAGATGAGCTCTGTTTCATCTACGCACACTTCATCACATTGCAATGTTTTTGTTCTGCCAAATTAACTTCTACACTCATGAAAGCAAATGTCTCAGAACTTGTAATACCTGCTCATCTACTTCCAGTAAATGCCAAATAATCATTAAAAATCTGTACACGTAGTAAGCACAATATTCAAAACCACTAATCTGTAAGAAAGGTTCTTTGGTTAAACTGCTGTCACAATGTAAACATTAACATTAAAAGAACAATCCAGACCAGTTTTTTAAGGATGAATAAATCAAACTGTGGAGACCTGAAAATATGTGGAGAGCCACTTACATTTAATAGAGCTTTACACCAGCTCAGAGATTCTGTGACTGGGTGGATATTACTTTACCTGCACAGTTTTGTTTATAGAGAGCACTATGTTTTGTACTTTTATTTACAGCTTACCACCCCTTACTGGGACATCTGAAAGTGGAATCTGTAACATTATTCAAGGCTCTATTATTTGTCCGGTGAAGGCCTTACATTCCACAGAAGAGGACATAGCATTTTTCCTCAGATGGGAATTGTTTCACAAAGGCACAGAATCTCTGAGCTGGTATAAAGCTCTATTAAATGTAAGTGGCTCTCCACATATTTTCGGATCCCAATATAGAAAGACACTCCACTATAGAATTTTCATTTGTTCCCTTTTGTGTTTCATATACATCTACTAGAAGTGCAACCATCCACCTCCTGTGAACTATTATAAATTCTTTAGCCAGCAATAGAGACCCTTGGCAGAATTGTTGCTACTACATATCTACAGAACTGATCTAGTGCTTGATCCACTGTTTCTATTACAAAACAAATGTAATTACACTGGGTGCCACCAGTGACACTTTTGTAAGAGTGGAGACACGTGCATGGAGCAGTGGAAGTCAGGTGCTCCTCGCAGAAGTCATAGAAATGAGGGCCGCTGCTATCATGAAATCATATCCCAACTGAGAACCAGCCCAATATGTCTGTAGCTAGACAGCATCTGGTAAGGGGAGAAAGAACATGACTGACATATGTGTGTTCTTGTATGGACAAGTATGTGTGCGAATGTTTGTATGGGTCATTATGTGTGTCAATATGGATCAATGTGTGTGTGTCAGGAAAACATTTCAATGTTATTGTCTCTTTAAATAATTCTGTTCTTTACAACAACAAATATAATAAGTGAAACATTTAAAATAAATAGTGGAGCTATCAAGCAATATTGAGATTGCTTACCATTTTGCAAAAAGTACAGGGAGATCAAAGACAGTAGGGATGTGCATGGGCAAAAAATTTGGTTCGGCACTTCCAAAATTCAGGACTATAGCAATTCGGGACTTCAGCAATTTGGGAGTTTGGCACTTTGGTTCGGCAATCCAAAATTCGGCACTTCTGTCACTTCCGAAATTCGGAACTTCAGCAATTCTGGAAATCAGCACGTAGGCAATTCCCTAAGCCTAAGCCTAACCCTATCCCTAAACCTACCCCTAACCCCAACCGTACCCCTAACCCTAACCTTACCCCTTACGCTACCCCTGTTATGGGCAAATGCAAATATTACAAGTTTTAGAATGAAATGTTGTATTTCTTAAACTGTGTACTTTGTCTTTAAGCAATAACCTCTTGCTTGCCTTCAGTGCATAATATGTTTACGCCATTTTGTCCCAGATGAAATACAATAACAACAATGCATAAACAAGCTTCAAGGCTATGCTATGACTGTTTTAGTACATAGTATACTATGGTAACCCTAAATAGATAAATGTCAGGGTGGTGGTCCGGTGCCCGGGACCCAGACACTGTCCGGGCGGCGGTGCGAGGACTGGACCCAGTATGCCTGATGTTTAGAGTAGGAGTCACAGTGTGGAGGTGGATTAGCAGGGTAACTGCACACCCCCTGGTGTTAAGCACCAGCGTTTGTGCAGCCACAACCAGAACCCTGAATCAGCTTATGCGGATCCCAAGAACTAGGAGCAGGAATTAAGCAGGCCTCCCAGAGCTGAATAGGGAGGCTCTGCAGCAAGAGTGTATCCAGTACAGAAAGGCACCAAACTAGGAGAACCCAGAACCAGAGAAGGATAGGAAGCTAAACCCAGAACATGTACACAAGACACATTAACTAAACAGGGGCAGGACAGGACAGGACTGAGAAATAACTTAGCACTATATATGGAAATAATGGGGATTTAGTCATTATATGATCATACATTGCATAAGCCTGCCAACAACGCCAATGTACCCCATATCTGGCAGGTCCTACTCTGCCTAATGTATACTAAAAGAACCATATAACACATATATAGCACTTACCTGCAAGAAAGGGCAGAAGGCTTGAGCTGCCTGCAGAACACTGAAACAAAAGAATTGATGGAAAACAAACGGGTGTGGCAACATAAAACAAACATTTAAAGGAAATCTGGAGACTGGGAATTCCAGGGACAGATTACAGGAATGAACCCAGAAAACCCCAGCATGAAGAAAACCAGACATAGAATAGAAAACCAAAAAAAAACAAGAAAAACTAAACATGAATTGTAAAAAGAGAACTGGATACCAGAAGCCATTGCCGGAATGGCTAGGAACAGGATGTGACATAACTCCCCTCCTAAGGAGTGACCTCCCAACAGCTCCCAGGCGGAGACCAGGAATGGCAATCGAATCCTGCAACGAAGTTCTCTTGACTTCCACAAAAGCAAGGATCCCCCACCGGAAAGGCCTCCTGCATAGGTACCACCAGCAACGAATGAAGATCACCGCCAGAACAGGAACACTGCCACAAAACCGGAAACGGAACCAGGAAACAAGCATTTTTCGAGTTTACAATAGAGACCATTAACAAGAAGGGTTTTCAAAACTAATTTAACATGCATGTGATGAGTATGCAAATCGGGTGAATATATTAATATGTCGTCCAAGTACACTATTACAAATGTGTGAATGTACTCTCGTAGGACATCAATAATAAACTCTTGAAACACTGCTGGGGCGTTACAAAGACCAAAGGGCATCACAGTGTATTCGTAATGACCACTCCTAGTATTGAATGCAGTTTTCCATTCATGGTCCTTTTTTATACATATGAGATTGTATGCACCCCTAAGGTCCAGTTTAGTAAACACAGTAGCTTGTTTAAGCCTATCAAATAATTCCGTGATTAAAGGTATAGGGTAAGCATTTTTTATGGTGATTTTATTAAGGCCCCTATAATAGATACAGGGTCTTAAATCGCCCTCCTTCTTTGACACAAAGAAGAAACCAGCCCCTGCCGAAGAAGAGGATCTCCTTATAAACCCCTTTTGTAAAGATTCTTTGATATATTCCTCCATGACAAGGTTTTCTTGAGGAAACAAAGGATACACCCTCCCTTTGGGAGGTATAGCGCCAGGTAACAAATCAATAGCACAATCATAGGGTCCGTGAGGCGGTAACTTTTCAGCCTTCCTTTTATCGAAGACAGACTTAAGAGACATGTACTGAGGTGGTATAACAGTAGACAAAGGAGGAGTAGTAGGAACGTTAATAGAATTTAAAGGGGGTGATTTTAACGATACAAGACTCTTGGCAAGCATCACTCCAAGATACTATTTGTCCTGACTCCCAGTCAAAAGTGGGATTATGAGAACGCAACCATGGGTACCCTAACACGTTGTGAGAGGAAGGAGAAGTGATGATCTAAAACCGAATGGTTTCTGAGTGTAACAACCCTGTAGACATATGCAACGGTTCAGTTTCATGTGTAATAACTGGGGAGCATAATGATCTACCATCTATGGCCTCAACGGCCAAGGGTGTCTTCTTCTCTCTAATGAGTATGTTGTGTTTTTTAACAAAGCCAGAATCTATGACGTTCTCGGCCGCACCAGAATTAACCAGGGAGAAGCAATCTGTTAAGAGGCAAATGAGGGGACTCAGATGTCACACCCAAAGCCAGTCCCCTGTACGGTCTTAGGTGCGATAGTTTTCCGGACGCACAGGACATTCCTGTTGCATATGGCCCTTCCTACCACAGTACAGGCAAAGTCCCTCCTTTCTCCTATACAATTTTTCAGCATCAGAGAGTTTAGCAACCACTAATTGCATGGGTTCCTCCTCTGAGACTTTGCAACCCTCAGGATTAGCAACTCTAGGAGTATTAAGTGTAACAAGACGTCTATTCCTAGTCTTGGTATATAGCCTGTCACAAATCCTATTGTCTATATCGATGAGATAGTCGATGAGATCCTCTAAGGGTATAGGAAGATCCCTGGCCGCTACATCATCCAATATAGTTTCAGATAGACCTTCCATGAACGCAGTAGTCAGCCCATTGTTGGTCCAATCTACCTGTGAAGCAAGGATATGGAACTGAAGGGCATAATCGGCAACAGACTTAGATCCCTGTTTAATTCTCATTAACGCCCTGGCGGCATTCTTCGACCTTTTAGTTGTGTCAAAGGTTCTACGAAAAGCCGTAAGGAAGCTATTGAAATCATGCACCATAGGTCCATTAGCCTCCCAAATAGGATCCTTAGACCAATCAGTGGGAAATGAATGTGGATACATTTCAAAGTGGAATTCCACTTGATTAAGGAATCCCCTGCATGTCTTAGCATCCCCTCCATACCTAGGTGGAGGGGTTAGATGTGCAGAAGCATTAGGCATGGTAGATGTGTCTAGTACAAGGGGTGCAGGAGGAGCTGGTACAGGTATCAGAGCCGTTCTGGATACACTGTAGCGGTACTTACCCTCTCCAGGGGCCGGCCGAGGTCCTCTGTTCCCGCCCCGCGCGGCTCGTGCAGATGCAGGACTGCGCGCGGCGGGAACAGAGTACCTCGGCCGGCCCCCAGAGAGGGTAAGTACCGCTACAATAAAGATTTTCTGAATTTAAGATGCCATCTTGTCTCAGGTCAGGGAACTTCCCCATAACGTGTGCACCCTTAAGTTTTTATGGCCTTGTATTTTTGCCAAGTTAAGGGAGATATGTTACTTTTTCATATATGAACTACGGTAACCCTAAAAAGAAGACACCTAAGGTATAAATAGGTGTACTTTTAAATGTTAAGACACAGGAGAGACTTGGAGACAGACGCTGCTCCACCTTAAAATGATTCAGGAGGGTATGTTAATCTATTATTGATATCTGCAAGCATTTAGTTTAATCTTATAAACTCTGCTATAAAATATTGTAATGGATTTTATATGTCTATATTTATATTTTTATATAATAAATATCTAAAAAGACAAACCTTTATTGCTTCCTTTTCAATCCTTATTTTTTATTGTATTCTCAATTATTTATATATGTTAAATAGAGGATCTCTTACTAACTATATAAAATTATGGGTAAGATATCTGTATGGTTAGCCCTGCTAAGTTCTATGCTTTAAGACGTTATAGTGGTAAATAAGGCAACTAGCCAAGGTTACACCCCTACCCCTAACCCTTAACCCCAACCCTAACCCTACCTATAACCCTAACCCTATCCCTAACCTAACCCCTAAACCTACCCTTACCCCTAACCTAACCTCAACCCTACCCCTAACCTAGCCCCAACCCTACCCCTACTAGGGGTAGGTGTAAGGTTAGGGTTAGGTTCGGGTTAGGGGTAGGGTTAGAGTTAAGGCTGAGGCTGATCTAAAAACATTGATCTTTTGACCAACATTCAAGTAGGTGAGCACTTGGGAAATAGTGATCACAATATAGTGTGCTTTGAAATAAACTCGAAAAAACAAAAGCACATGGGGTATACTAAAACATATAATTTTAAAAAGGCCAATTTCTATAAGTTAGGGGCAGCTTTACAACAGACATGTGCAATTTGGTTCGGTCTGAATGTGAATTCGGACGCATTTCGGGCAATTCAAACATTCGGGTACTTCCAAATGACTGAATAGATTAATTGCCAAATTGCCGAATGGTTGAAGTCCCGAAATTCCGAAATTACCGAATTGCTGAAGTGTCGAAGTGCTGAAGTGCTGAAGCACAGTATTGCCTAAGAACTAATATACTTACCCAGTGGAAGAATGAAGAATGTTACACTGTATACAATTTTAAATAAAAAGTATACAAACATAGCCAGGATTCAGCTGTAAGCATAGGGGCCCTACAGTAAAATTAAGGGGTTGACCTAATGTCCACTCCCCCACCCCTGAGCGGTGGGTGGGGGCCCTAAATATTAATAAGGGGGGGAGACCTAATTTCCTCCCCTCTGGCCCCCACCCCTGAGTGGTGGGTGGGGGCCCTACAGTAAAATAAGGGGGGGGGACCTAATGTCCTCCCCTCTGGCCCCCAACTCCTAAGCGTTGGGTGGGGGCCCTAAATACTAATAAGGGGGGACCTAATGTCCTCCCCCCTGGCCCCACCCCTGAGCGGTGGGTGGGGTCCCTAAATTGGACTAAGTGGGGGACCTAATGTCCTCCCCCCTGGCCCACACACCTGAGCGGTGGGCGGGGGCCCTAAATACTAATAAGGGGGGGGACCTAATGTCATCCCTCTGGCCCCCACCCCTGAGCAGAGGGTGGGGGCCCTAAATTGGAATGGGGGGATCTAATGTCCTCCCCCTGGCCCCCACCCCTGAGCGGCAGATGGGCGCCCTACAGTAAAAAAAAGGGGGGGACCTAATGTCCTCCTCCATGGCCCCCAACCCTGAGCAGCAGGTGGGGGCCCTAAATACTAATAAGGGGGGACCTAAGGTCCTCCCCCCTGGCCCCCCCTTCCACGCTCAGGGGTGGGGGCCCTAAATAAAAATGTTACCCCCCCCAGGTGACTAGGGGTCCCCAAACCCCCTACCCTCACCCCCTACCCCCCAAAAAAATTAACCCCCTACCTACCCCCCTCACCCTAAAAAAATGAGGGGGGACCTTTAACTAAGTACCTGTAAAAAAAAATAAAACTTACCATTCAATGTTTTCTTTCTTCTAAAATCTTCTTTTTACAGCCCCAAAAAAGGCCAAATAAAAAATCCATATTAACTGACGCACTTAAAAAAAAAAAAACAAGCGACAGGCTGCACACTGTTTAATAGACATGCCCCTACTTGCAGTATAGCACGTAGGGGCAAAATGTACTAATACTAAGTAATTTTTATTTAGTATTAGGTCTTTCAGCCTTTTGGTAGATAACTCCCTAATACCGTGGAAATTATGGAGTTATCTACTAAGCGGCTGCAAAAGTAGTGCCTAAGTCCCGAAATACCGAAGTTCCGAAGTGTCGAAGTTGCCGAATTTCCGAAGTGTCGAAGTTCCAAAGTGCTGAAGTGCCGAAGTTGCCAAAGTTCCGAAGTGCCGAATTGCCGAAGTCCCGAATTGCAGAAGTCCCGAATTTCGGAATGCCAAACCGAACAGAAAATTTTCCCCATGCACATGTCTACTTTACAATATATTGACTGGCATAACCTCTTTAGTGAAAAGAACACTGAGGTTAAATGGAACATCTTCCAACAAATATTAGAAAGGTACATTTCTCAGTATGTACCATTGGGTAATACATATAAAAGAAACAAATTGAAACCAATGTGGTTTAGTAGAGAAGTAAAACAAGAGATTAAAAATAAGAAAAGGGCATTTAATGCATTTAAATCGGACAAATCAGATGCATCCTAAAAAAGAAGCCAAGAAGGATTTGGGAATTGTTATAGACAACAAATTAGACAGCAATATGCAATGTCAATCTGCAGTTGCTAAGGCCAGTAAGGTTTTGTCATGTATAAATAGGGGCATAAATTCTCGGGATGAAAATATAATTTTGCCTCTTTATAAATCACTGGTAAGACCACACCTTGAATATGCTGTGCAATTTTGGGTGCCTGTTCTAAAGAAAGATATTATGGCACTAGAAAAAGTCCAGAGACGGGCTACAATATTGATAAAAGGAATGGAGCATTTTAGTTATGAAGAAAGGTTGAAAAAATCTAATCTGTTTAGTTTGGAAAAACGGCGCCTCAGAGGGGATATGATAACATTATACAACATTATACATATTCGGGGCCAGTACAAACCTTTATCTGGAAACCTATTCATAAACAGGGCTATACATAGGACATAAGGTCACACATTTCGGCTGGAAGAAAGGAGATTTCATCTAAGGCAAAGAAAAGGTTTTTTTACAGTAAGAGCAATAAGAATATGGAATTCTCTGCCTGAAGAGGTGGTTTTGTCAGAGTCATTACAGATGTTTAAACTGCAATTGGATAAATACTTGCAAAAACATAACATACAGAGATATAATTTCTAATTAGTGGGGTAATAGCTGCTTGATCCGAGGAGACATCTGACAGCTATTTTGGGGTCAAGAAGGAATTTTTTTCCTAGTTTGTGACTAAATTGGAAGCGCTTCAGGCTAGGTTTTTTGCCTTCTTTTGGATCAACAGCAAAAACGTATGTGAGGAAGGCTGAACTTGGTGGACGCAAGTCTCTTTTCCGCTGTGTAACTATGTAACTATCTAATGCATGTAAAAAGGAGATTAGTTTCGCTAAACTTCAAAATGAAAAAATCATAGCCAAAGAGAGCAAAACCAACCCAAAAGCATTCTTTAAGTACATAAATTCTAAAAAAAAAAAAAATATGAAAGTGTAGGTACACTAAAAACTGGAATGGGGGTGTTAGCTAATGAAGACCAATGAAGTTAATGAAGAAAAGACAGAAATGTTCTCCTCCGTATATATTATAGGAATAACCCATGGCAATTGATGTGCAAATGATTCCTGCTAAAAACTTGCAGAAAAATTGTAATTGGTTAACTCAAGACAAGGTGCTGCAGCAATTAAAAACTGTTAATACAAACAAAGCTCCCTTACCTGACGGTATTCATCCACGAGTACTTAAGGAACTAAGTGTTGAAATAAGTGAACCTCTGTTTTTAATCTTTCAAGATTCTTTTCTTTCAGGAAGTGTTCCAGAGGATTGGAGGAAGGCAGATGTGGTTCCTACATTCAAAAAGGGTTCAAAATCCTTGCCTGGAAATTATAGACCTGTGAGCTTAACTTCTGTGGCTGGAAAAGTATTTGATAGGTTATTACAGGATAATATCCAAGAAATCCTTGAGAAGAACATGGTTATCAGCAAAACTCTGCATGCTTTTATGAAGCACAGGTCATGTCAAACTAACTTGATTGTATTCTATGAAGAAGTAAGTAGAAGTATAGATTAGGGTGTTGCAGTGGATGTGATCTATTTGGATTTTGCCAAGGCAAGATTCGTGTTCAAACTCAAAGAAATCGGTCTAGATAAAAATTCTTGTTCTTGGGTAGAACATTGGCTTTAAAATAGAGTACAAAGAGTTGTCATTAATGGTAAATTTTCAAGCTGGACAGAGGTAGCAAGTGGTGTCACTCAGGGTTCTGTTCTGGGACCCCTTCTATTTAACATGTTTATAAATGATCTTGAAAAAAAGCATTGAAAGTCATGTTTTAGTGTTTGTAGATCACACAAAACTCTGTAAAGTAATACAATGTGAGCAAGATATTACTTTTCTGCAGAGGGATTTAGATAGACTGGGGGACTGGGCACTCAAATGGCAGATGAAATTTAATGTTGAAAAATGCAAAGTTATGCACTTTGGCATAGAGAATGCACAAGAAACGGATACCCTTAAAGCGGCACTGTCATGGCCGAATCCCATTTTTTTTGTAACCCCCCTTCCGACTCCACTACATCTAACTGACCCCCTAGCCACCCCCAAATGCCCCTACGCCCCCATATTACCTATTTTTCATTCTTTATTTTCTGCCCCTACCTATATGCAGGGCGCCGCCATCTTTGTGTGGGTAGAGGAAGTCACTGTGGGACACGTCATCTGCCCACACTAGATATCGCTGGGAGATTCCCGCACATGCCCAGTGAAACACTTGGACATGCAAACGGGAATT